AAGAGTTTCTTGCTGTATAAAACCCCCAGAGGACACAGCACACACAGACAGCTCAAACCAGCCAGCCCTGAGGCCTGAGCCATCAGAGAAACATGCAGAAATGGAGCAGAATCAAACCTCTCACAAAACCACACCTGGTTTATGTGGATGTCCCTTGGACATGGTACCTGATCCTGCTCAGGTCCCTGTCATTCTCTGCCCACCATTGCTACACCTAAACAACAATCTGGAGCCTGTAAAATCTATTATTTCCAGCAATAGTGAGTAGTTTCTTCTGCCATTAGGAGGGTGTAACCTTTGGCAAACCAGGACTTGGAATACTTCCCAACCCTAAAGGCCTCAATATGTGCATGATGCTTTAACTCAGAGATCAAACCTCAGTAACAGAGAGGTGCAAGGACCCAAAGAAGGTGACCAGATAGTAGTATTTTCTTTGAATCATATAACCAGGCTAAAATTTTCATCCTTCTCCTTGGTTGTGGGTTCAACCAAGAACCACCTGATATACTGAAACCTGACTGCAAGGATCCCTCCCAGAAGGGTCTAGGAAGTATTTTCAAACTGCCATTGCAATATTGCAGGTGCTGGTTATTGGACTAAAAATATTAGCACTATTTTAGTGCAGAAAAGGCTGCAAAAGCTGTTTGCCAGCTTCCTATATATATCACAGACAATTTCCTTCTGCTACCCCTGGATTTATGACCTGTGTTCAGCTGAAGATGCCTTGCCCTATCTCCTGCAGGAGAGGAGACTCTTGTGTGAGACTCTACTGCCCAGCTGGGGTGGGAGTGTGGCTGCTCTGAGGAACATCTGGAGGCTGAGCTCTGTACCTCAGCCCACTCCAGATGGGCAGCCCCAACCATGCTCAACCTGAGCATTTCCACTGTCCCTTTGTCACCTCAGATGAGCCAAAATACCTCCCTAAAATACTCTGTTCCTCCTGGCTGACTCCTCCTCTCATGCCACTCTTTGGGACAAAGTTTGTCTTTCAAACCCATTTTGTGGGGAGATGGGAATGCAGGAAGACACTGGAACACTCTCTGGGCTAAAAAAACTGCCGAGGAGAAAGACCCATAAATAAGAAATGTTTTGTTAATGCTGTAATGAAAACCACATTGAGATCAGGCTGTAATTGCTCTGCTTTGTGCAGGGACACACGAGCTCTGAATGCCAAAGCCATTCCGAGCAGAGTTAGGGGATGGGAAACAGACAGATAAGCACAGAATGGTGATAGCACATGCACAGCAGTCTCTAGATGGAGAGGAGGGATTTGGAAGGACTTGCTCTTGCTCTGATGGGTTCATCTGCTGAGCAAATAACTGCTCAGCACGTGCTGAGGGTTTCAAGGCTGCAGAGAGAACCTGGCAGAGCTATTCATTTGCTCCTGCTCACCACAGGTAGATTGGGAGAGCAGTGTGTGCTGCACTAGGACAGGGTCCCCACCTGGCAGGAATCTGGGTCCAGCCTGCAACTGCTCCACTCCAGCCCCAGAGCTGTCACTGTGAGCTCCATCACGTTTATTGGCACAGCTTGGACATTAGTGTCACAGTGGGAGACTCTCCTGGTCCTGCACACAGGATCGGTGAGTGAACCTGGCACAGCTCTCCACACTGCACACAGATTCTCCTCCTCTCCCAGCCCAAGTTTCCTGCCTGCCCTGGGCTTGTTCCTCCACCCACACTCTGCCTGGACAGCTGCAGAGAAGTCTGATGAGGGTAAAGGCACAGGAATCCTGTGTGAAATGTTCTGACACTGCAATTTGTTGGTGGCTAGGAGAGATTTGAGGAAAGTGTGACTGTTTCTTCTGTTCTCACTCCATCAAGCAAGGACTTGGGAACCCTTCAAAATAGGATGCCAAGCTCACCTTAGTGCATGTTTTCCACCTAGGGAAGTTTAGAGGCATATATTGTGTCCCTCTTACAGGTCACACTCCCCAAAACACCTGATGGAGTTTGTACACAGCGAGGAACATTCTCTAGTGCAAAGAGAGAAAAGCTACTACTAGAAAACAAGGTTCAGTGGAGGATTACAGCAGGAAAATTGGGGATTAGAGAGTGGAACTGCCAAGCAAAGCATTCCTGTGCTAAGAGTGACCAGGCTGCAAGAAAGTAAAGAAGATATCACAAGGAAAGCCAGGATGAAAAGAGGTGGAGGAAATGCAGCAATCTGTTAGGTTTTAAAAACAGAAGACAATTTTTAGCAGACAGTTTGGGGATAGAGCTCTCCACACCTCTCACTCTCTGCTGACACTTGGTACAGTCCTGCTGCCAGTGCCTTTGCCTGGAAACAGAGAAATCAGGGCAGTCTGTGCAAGGGGTTGGTGTTGGCCAAGCACCAGGAGTGTTCACTGGAGCACAGCAGGCTGAGCCCAGCTCTGCTGTGCTATCTGCTGCTTCTGCACCAACCTGTCATCTCTCCCTTCGCTTTTCAGCTGCCCAGGACAGACCTCACCCCTCTGCCCAGAGCTATCTCTGCTGGATCCTGCCCAGTCTGGGCAGACACAGACAATTTAACACCACAGAGCAGTCATAAGTCACTGCACTGGATAATTGCTTTTAACTCTGTGCAGGCTGAAACCAATTCTCCCAGGTCCTGCTGTTGGCAGGGACACTCTGCTGTTGAACATGCATCTGATTACAGTTCTACTCAGCCAAATACTCCTCATGGTTTCTACAGATGTTCCTTTTTTTTTTTTAACCCCATAACTATGAACATTATGAGTCGATGCTCTCTTCACCTGCCACTTTCCTCTGCCAATAATCCCAATAAAACCCCATTAGCTCATGCCTTTAACCTCAGCACGTCCTAGCTGTGCTCACTACATCTCATCTGGGATAATTTAAGGCTTCAGGAACTGTTGGCTTAGTGTTATCTTTAAAATCCCACCCTCCCTGATACAATCAGGGGCTGAGAGGTTTCAAGCAAACAAAGGGAGCTGAACTATCCAACTTCCATGAGCTTTCCATAAAACTCTCTTTCAGTTGCCTCTCATGGTAGGCTCTTTGCAGTTGGGTACCACAGCAGCAGGTTAGGGCTGCAAGCTCTGAAACTTCTCTAACAGAGCAACTTCAACCTACCAGAGCTGTGCCACTTCCCACCTGGAGAGACCTGGGCTGGGGAACACTGATGAGCAGCTACTGAGCTCCCTCAGGCAGGGAGAGGGTTGAACTCAGAACTTGGGTTTGTGCCTCTTGCTGCCAGGTCACTGCTTCAAACAATTCGAGGCACAGAGAAGCCTTAGTGAAGTGCCAAGGAGAGGGAGCTCCCTTTTCACCTCTGCCCCAGGAATGCTTCAGGTCAGAGGGCAGGGAACACAGTTGGCCTTTATCCTCATTTTCCAGTTATTTTTGTGGACACAGGATGACAGCTTCAAATAAAAAAAGCTCAGAGACTGCACTAAGATAAACTGATCTGTCCTGACAGCTACTACAGACACCATAAAAAATGACTGGGCTAGAGATATGTTCCTTCTCACCCCCCTCACCACCAGGCCACAGTGTTGGGGAGTGAGGTAACTCACACAGTTCCTCCCACTGGCAGCACTGGATGTGTTTGTGTCTCCACAGACAGGACACTGAGCAGTGGAAAGCTGATGGATGACATTCCTAGCTCTGAGAATCATAGAAGAAAAGAATGTAAAGAGGTTGGAACAGAGCTTAAGATCAACTAGCCCCAACCCCCTGCCCTGGGCAGGGACACCTCCCATCAGAGCAGGTTGTATCTCCCTGGGCAACCTGTGCCAGTGTCTCACCACCCTGGAGCATCCAGTATCTCCCTGGGCAACCTGTGCCAGTGTCTCACCACCCTGGAGCATCCAGTATCTCCCTGGGCAACCTGTGCCAGTGTCTCACCACCCTGGAGCATCCAGTATCTCCCTGGGCAACCTGTGCCAGTGTCTCATCACCCTCACAGGGAAAACTTCTGCCTAAGATCTAGCCTAAATTTCCCACTCTTTAGGATGAGGGCATTAGTTTGTTTCCAAGAATGAATGCCTTGCTCCAGAGCCTTCCAGCTTGTGCTCCTCATGTCCTCAACACTCACCATATCTCAATTAAGAAAACCACAACCAGCCAAGATTTCTACTTAGTGACACAAGAGTTGGCCAGGCTAAGAGGAGGCCAATGTAACAGCACAGGAGCCTTTCAGGACCAGTTACAAACACTTGCCCTCAGGTGCCTTCCTCATGGGGCAACCAGACTGAGCAAACTTCCCCTGCTCCAAGCAGCAAATTCCTCAGGTAAGGAGAGAAACACACCTGATCTCACTGCACACACAGCCCAGCAGGACACATACAGATACTCCTTCCAGGCAAGTTTCTTGCCTTTTGTATTTTCACCCTTCTCAAGCCTATCTGTTCACATGTCTCCAGCAATCTGCCCTGTAACAAAATAAGGTCCAAAACATCCTGCAAGCAAAGACCTGCCAGTGCAGAGCTAGGAAATGAACTTACTGAGGGTGACTGTGTCGTTGATCCTGAAGCTGCAGAGCACTCGGTCCACGTTGCGTGCGTGGCGAAATCCATTGCCCCTCACCACGACCTGGAAGGACTCTGCAGCAAGAGACACAGGGGATTAGTGATACAGGGCAAGGAAGGGAGTGATCCTTCAGACAAAGCACATCTCAAAAGTTTTCACATGCTAAAATCTGCAGTTTAGCAGTTTTGAAGTTTAAAAATGGTTGAAATTGATTTTACGCTCTCTCCCTACTTGAAGTGAAGAACAGCAGTTTAGCAGTTTTGAAGTTTAAAAAGGGTTCAAATTGAATTTACGCTCTCTCCCTACTTGAAGTTTTAGAAGCAGGGAACGACTCACAGCAGATATTTTAACTGACCTGCAGGGAAAACATGAATCTTCATGAACATGAAAACATGAGCTTTCCCCTCCCCAGATACCCATTTTAAATGGCAGAAAGTTTTGGGTGAAGGAAGGCAGAAGCAGCTTTCCATGGAAAGGAAAAAATCTTCCAGTGACAGATAATTTGGAGATGTTTAAGTGTTACTTTCCCAGGGAACTGCACAATTGTGTCAGTTGCCCTGAGTTTTGTCACATTCTGTCCTCCTACCCTGTACAATGACCACAAATCCTTGACTGGACTCATTTCCATACAGTGATGGGATTTTATCAGCTGATCAATATATCTCTGGACAAGGATCTCAGGGTCTGTGGGCATTTCCCCAAGTCTTCTTTGCTGTTTTTCCAGATAAACTCTATAAGGTCACTGCAAGCTGCAGGAAGCATCAAGGACAGTCACCCACACCTGAGCACTGAGCAGAACAAGCAGAGCTGAGAGCAATGAGATCACACATCCTCACCAGATTTCAGACCATTCTCCACCATCCCTTGACATTCCAATTACTTCAGCCTCGTACTGGGAAAGGTTTATGAACTTCCTGCAGCCCCAGCATGAAGATTGCCTTGCAGGGGAAGCACTGCTTTCAGGCTTTCAGGTTTTGAACCAGGGCCACAGTCCCAGAGCAGTCCTGGCAGCAGACAGAGCCTCCAGCTCAGCAGTTCAGCCCCCACAATTCCTGTGACTATCTGGGAGAGGCACTCAGCTAATCCCCACTCAGGTTTGGCTGGGGAATCTGATCTGAACACGAAATGTTTCACAGCCCAAGGAGTAATCACAGTGCACCAGAAACACCTCCCTTGGTTTAAAACCCCCAGGAGCAAGAAGGAACCTAGTTTTAATGCAGGTTCAGGTTTTTTTTCCCTTTGCATTTTACAGTCCTCATCTTCTTTCATCTCCCTTAAGGACCTGCACACTGTACTTGTCAAAAAAAAAAAAAAAAGCAGATTTGCTCTGGAATCTGGGCTCTCCTCCAGGTCCCACTCATTTGCAGCCAAGTTGCAAATCATCCCAGCACATCCAGCCAGGGAAGCTGCTTGCAGGCCCATTGTGTGCTGCCTGGGAGCACTGGGGAAGAGCAGGGAGGGGAGTGTGGGGGCTGGAGAATGCTAAAGAGAAATCACAGAAGTCCCAAGTGCTGGGGGACAAGAGCTCAAGCCCAGGCAGAGCACAGGGTGCCAGTGATGGCAGCTGAACCCCAGGGGCTTTGGCTCTGCCTGGGCTCACAGCACAGTGTGCACCCTGCATGTCTGTGCTGATGCAAAGCCAAGCCATGCAGAAACTGCCTCTGCAGAGTGATGTGCTGCTGCTGAAACTCATTGCTGCTGTAAGGAATTCGTGAATTCATGACCTCATTATTTGTCTGAGACAAGTCAGCAGCGCAGGGGAGGCCCCAGGGGACACAGAGACCTCATGTTTCCTCCTTGCAAGCTAAAAAACTGCCACTATTCCTCAAGGATGTGCACAGAAGCAAGAAAACAGGAGGGGTCAGAGCTGTACCTGCAAAAACTCACTTTAAAGACACTAATGCACTTAACTGTAATTATGTATTTCAAAAAAGCTCTAAGTGCATAAAGTGGATGTGAATCTTCCTGCAATTTCCCTCCCTTTCCCAAGCATTTATGGAACATCCCTGCACTATCCCAGAGACTGTCACAATATCAATCACCCACCATGCTAAGGGAGAGAGGGTCCTGCTCTGGAGCCTTTTTTAACCCAGAAACTATTGAACTGGCCAGCCAAAAAGAGAAATAGATCCTTAAGTGCTCTAATTTGTGTCATGACAATGAGGCAGAACTATCAAATTTAGAGTTTTTCTGCAAGAAAATCCCATTTGACATCATTTGTTACACATGGGAAATGTGCAAACTACTCTAAGGTTCACCCCCCAAAAAATTAAAATATTTAGCCCCAGTTAATTAGCCACTTTTGCTCTCTCCAGCAATTAGAGATGGGCTGTAATCTTTATTTTAGGCAACATGAACACCTAGAGCCTCTGTTTGTACTTACCTCCTGCACATATGCTGGAAGGTTCTGCTGCCAGGATTTCTATACAGGATTTCTTCAAAATCTAAAAGAGAGACCAAATGTCATGAAGTGCCTCAGATTTGTTTCCATAGAGACTCAGAGTTGAGAGTGTGGGAGAGTGAGAGTCTCACCTAAATGGTTTTCCCAACAGCTCACTTAGCACCCATGGCACAGTGAGGGCATCTCAGCTCTAAACCTCCTGCCCAGGTGTCACTGCCCTTCTCAGGCTCTGGCTGGGGAGGAAGGGGATGGATGCCAAGCTCTCCCCATCCCAGATCCAGCTTTCCTTTGGCCCCAGTGCCAGTCACTGTGCAGTCATTGTGTCAGTTGCCCTGAGTTTTGTCACATTCTGTCCTCCTACCCTGTACAATGACCACAAATCCTTGACTGGACTCCATACCATACAGTGATGGGATTTTATCAGCTGATCAATATATCTCTGGACAAGGACTGGGATCTCAGGGTCTGTGGGCATTTCCCCAAGTCTTCTTTGCTGTTTTTCCAGATAAACTCTATAAGGTCACTGCAAGCTGCAGGAAGCATCAAGGACAGTCACCCACTGTCCCACAGATCGTGGGATCTGCAACCACCACACTCTGGAGGGTTGGGGAGGTGTTGCCCACGCTGATCAATATATCTCTGGACAAGGACTGGGATCTCAGGGTCTGTGGGCATTTCCCCAAGTCTTCTTTGCTGTTTTTCCAGATAAACTCTATAAGGTCACTGCAAGCTGCAGGAAGCATCAAGGACAGTCACCCACTGTCCCACAGATCGTGGGATCTGCAACCACCACACTCTGGAGGGTTGGGGAGGTGTTGCCCACCCTGGGTAGTCACATCTCCCTCTCCAAGTGATCCTAAGAGCCCCAAACTTCAACTAAAACATCAGAAGTTTCAGCTAAGCTGTTCCTCTTTGCATGAAAACATCCCAGGAATAGCTGGAGTCCCTCCTCAAGTCTCAGCACAGGGTTAGAACTTCTGAAAACAGTATTTAACCTGATTTATGGGAGCTCCCCCGAGGATAACCTAAGGCTGCTCTGTGATTTCAAGTCAAGTGCACAGAGAACTGTTTACTTAACCCAGCTCAGACTGAGCAGTGTGAGTTCAGAAGGGTTGGCACTGCCTTTAGCCACTGCATGTGTGGACAGTGGTTTCCACAAACACTTCGGTATCAGGCTTGGCTGAGCCCTTGCAAGGCATGAGGAAAGGCCAGAGCTGGGCACTGTTTATTCCCAGCTGGAAAAACCTTTTTCCTGCTCTGAAAACCAACTCAGGAACCAGTGCCCCAGGGCTGGGAGCTGTGGGGGTTCACCCCCAGGCTGAGCACAAGGGAGCACTGATCAAAATTCAGGTCAGCTCCAAGAGGCAAGTAAATGTCAGCCAAGCATCATGACTCCAATCCAACATGAAAATTATTTTCCCAACTTTAAATTGAAACATCTGTAAGGAAAGAACATCAAGCAATACAATAAATTCTGTAAGATAACATTTTTTCTCTCCACAATCACAGTTCTCTGCCCCAAATATCTCAGTGCAAAAGTACACACAGAGCCAAGATCTATTTCTTGTAAGTTTTAAAGAGAAGTTTGAGTTACTCAGAGAGTAGAGACAAAGTACCAAGGGACTGAAGGAGGCAGAACCATCTGAGCTGGTGGCAGGTGAGGAGGGAGAAGATTTGCAGGAACAAGGTAATACAGGAACTGTCAAGTGGAAAAAAGGAGAAAGTCAGCAGCAGAAAACAGAACTGAGAAGCACTAGAAGAATGTGAAAGTCAGCATAAGGAAAAGCATAAAGAATGTAAAATACAGTCAATACTTTGTTTAATCCAGTACAACCTCCCATGGTTAAGTTTGAGATTGAGGATTCGAGTCAGCTCTGAGCTGTAAGCCAGCCTGGGGTGGGAGAGCAGGTGTCTCAGTTAGATGATGCAGATCTCTCAGTCCAGTCCATTTACATGGCTATAAAACTGGCCTTAACTGCTTTTTACAGTGCCAAGTGCAATATTTATTTTGACTTCGATGAAGTTCCCAACGCTCCAAGCACCCACCCTAACTCAAAGTGAAAATCAGGCAGCAAGACCTATAGCAAAAAAATTCCTTTATGTCTCTTCCCCATTAAAAAAATACATTCAGAAAGGACTTTAACATCTTCGTTGTAAAAGATTTCACTGGATCTCTTATTTCCTGAGGACTCACAGCTTGGTGGGCTGGAAATTCACCTCATCCCCTGCACCCTAGGAAAGCAAATCACATGCCAGAGTGGTGCCAATCTCCCAGCTGTGCTCTCTGGTGCTCCAGACTCACAGAGTCTCTGCAAAGGTCTCTTGTTCATCTTTGCTGACATTCCAGATGGAAACACAACACATCCCCGTGGAAGCATAGGATTGTGTGTCACAGTTACCTCTGCCAGGACCCAACTGATTTTGGCACTACCTGTGACCCATTTACCTTTCTGCCAGGTGAGGCATTCAGGGTCAGGAGAGACCCAGCAGCTCATCTAGGTCCTTGGGGAAGCAAAGAGGAGAGGGGAGAGAAACTCTGCAGCTGCTGGAACACTTGGTGTTGTGCTCCACATGCACACAGACAGATTCCTTCACCAGGGCAGCTGCATATTTCTTATATTTATATATATATATTTCACCAAATTTGGGAATTCTAATTAGCTAACAGGATGCTGAAGTGCAATGGGAGGTTACTGCCTAATTAGTGGCAGTGGGAATGACCTGCAGTCTGGGCCAGGTACTCATTAGCAAGTTCAGTGCAATTACTGAACACCAAAGTCTGTTGCCAATTACTAAACAGTCATTTATTTACGAAGTGTTTCCCGTCCAATAATAGCTCCATGAGCTAAGTCAAACAAATACATCTAAGTCCTTTTAAAAGATGCATTTGGGGGGAAGAAAGAAGGAGAAAACATGACCATATATCACTAAAACTAACCAGAAGCTCTGTGCTGCTGGGCTGGGGGTTCACATCCTCTGCAGTAATCAGATATCTGCTCTTCTCTACCTGTTCCCTCCTGCACACGTGCAAATACACAACTGACAATACTTACAGAGTCTATGATCCCCTGAAGGGCTTCAAAACCATCATTCACTGGGAAGACATGATCTTTGCTGTCAGCAATCCGAGCCAGCTGATGGAGTGGAGGAAGGAAACAAAAGAGAAATGCAAAGAATGAGGTAAATTAGCCAGCAGGCAGCAAATTAAGGTTTCTCCAGACTCATCTACTTGAAAGCAAAAAATCCCCAAATACTTCAAGTACTCTGTATGGAATGTCAGTGGATTTTAGTTTATCAAGCATGGAAAAGTTTATCTCTTTAGCCTGATTGATTTTAGAAAGGTTTATGTCAGGAAGCAGAAAAGGCTTCTCTGGACTCTGAAGACAAGGCAGAATGTGGCTTTCATTGATGCCCAGAGCCTAACGATCTTTGGTGCAAAATCTGGCTCACACCAAGACTGGACTTGATGGTCTTGGAGGTCTTTTCCAACCTTAAAGGATTCTGTGAAGTTACAGCCCATCTGGGGTCTGATTCACCTTTCCTGTCAGGACAGATTGGACTCCTGGTCCTACACTCAGCCATTAGAGAGCCAAAGAGAAGCAAGCAGGGAGCTAAGAGGAGACAGTTTCCTAGTGGATGTTAAAAGGGATCAGAAGAGCATCCAGAAACCTCCACGACAAGGATGAGGGGAGGTGGTAAGGAAAGGGGAACCAGGACATCACCTGCAAAGAGCCACATGAGGTTCAGTTGCCAATAGCCTGTGAAGGGTTAAGGCAAAACTATAAGCCCAGCTCAGCAGTAATGAGCTCTCCATGCATCTGCTGGAGCAGAATCAAGTTTTACTGCTGCAAGGCCAACGTTTGTTCCCGTAAGTCTCTCCCCTGGCAGAGCTAACAGAGCCCAGCAGGCCTCTCTGCAGTTTCCTGTAGCACTGCAAACTGGAGGCAGCAGAGCAGCCACACATTCCTCCCTAAGCCCCTCGGGCTCCACCTTTCCAGCTCCTGTCACTCAGAACTCCCAGTTCTCAAACTGCCAACCTGATTCCAAGGAGATTGTTCTCAACCAATTGGTTTGACTCCTTTTGGAAAGCTGAAAGCTTGGAAAACCTCTTTCAGTCAGCACTTCAGGGCTGTGCAAGTGTTTCGCTCGTGTTAGAAAACCATCAGCAGTTGCACTTGGTGTGAAAGGTAATTCGTGGACATCTAACATTGCATGACAAATGTAGAAGTCAGAGTATCAATGGGAAAACACTGTAAAATATTAGTGTCATTAATGATCTGTTTGCTTTTCACAACATGGTTTTCCCTGAAATAAAAAGCTGGACTGAAACTGAAGTGTTAGATAGCAATACCACAAGTTTTATGGGGAAAAAAAATGCCCCACGACCTCCTCCTGCCTACAGCTCGTGACAGACAATTTGCTGCTCTTCTTGGGTCTTTTCCTCTGATTTTCCTCACCATTGGCAAGGGTCACTGTGGCATGGAAAGGGACAGCTCTCCAGACCTGGAGGTCGAGTCAGAGAGAGGCTCAAACCCAACACCCAGAGCAGCCACTTTGGGTGGTCACTTCAGACAGTCACCAGCCACCAGAAGGAGAGGTTGACCTCTTGAGAAACCCTGAGAAAGTGATTCAGGAGTTCATCATACACCTTTGCCAAGAACCTCAGTAACCACAGTGCCTCCTTTACCTGAGTCTCGTTGAAGTCTTTCACACCAACACAATACACTGTCGCTCCCAGGTCACGCGACCGATTAGCCTGGAACGAGGAAAAGTAGGATGACCTGGTTACAAATGGGATGGCATGAGGTTTCTGAAAGGTCTTTGCCAGAAATCTTCTGCTCAAAAGGCAACTGCTCCAAACACTAAGTGCAAATTAAGTCATTGAATCATCTTTTAATAGAACAACAACACCTGACCTGACTGAAAAGCCCTTCCCAGAAGGGATGTAGCCCCTCAGATTGTATCAGAAGACTGTAGCAGTCTGAGTTGTCCCACAGCTTCACTCCAAGAGCCTCATTCCAGCTTTATACTGGGAAGCTCCAACCCCACCAACTGAAGCAACTCGCAGGGCTAGAGCTGAGTCCAGGATCTCCATTCAAGCAGCTCACAACTGTTCCTCCCCAAACCCAAACCAATGTGACACTTCTGACCTTTCAACTTGTTCATTCACCTCTGAAAACAAACTTGTTTTTCTTGTGGGTTTTTGATTCCAGCAGATGAGCAGTAAGGAGGGAACTGTGGATTCAGGACACTTGTTTGTGCTGCAGCAATATTGGTTTTACTCTACAAACCCATTCCTGTTGTTGTTATTGGAGCTAAAGCTGCACTTTGGACAGACTGAGAGGAAAAAGTCTGTCCATAACAAATTCATACAACAGTACCAGCTTCCAAGTTTAGGTCATCTTAATTTATTTGACTGACAAGTGCAAATTGGTTCATCTCTTCAGAGAGGACTGTCCAGAGGACTGGAACATCACACAGCAAAGCTTTCAGTGCTCTCCCTACTGCTTAGCTAACATGGTGCAGAGTTCACTGATTTAATGAGGATGTTGAAAGTACATGATTGAGTCTTGGAAATAATTGTGGAAATTTTGGGTTTGATCATCTGGGAGGTTTTCTGTTGTGGCAGAAGGTGATAGGGACAAGAACCATCCTCTTTCTGCAGTCTTTACTTTTGTGATAAAAGAAAAGTGAAAGTGAGAAGATTCATGTATCTCTGAGAACAACCCAGTAAATACTGAGACTTTTCAGCTGGGAGCTATTCCTTCCTCCAGTGTTTATTTTTAACTAGAAGTTTAAACCCTCTCCTTTCCCATGAACATGTGATGAGTCAGAAGTGTTGCTGCTGTTAATGCTTATCCTTAGATGCATATCTAAAGAGCACCAAAGTGGAGTTTTGTCACTAGGGAAAAAGGTTTTCCTTATCTTTTGCCTTCAAAGCAGCAAGCCCAGACATTTCACTGTCTCTCCAACTGAAACTGTGTAAGACACTCACCTCCCTCTCAGAGTAGAAAAACAGGTCTTCGTGGAGTTCTCCGTCTGTCAAGGCAATGATGACACTGGCAGTTCTGTAACCTGAGCACACACACTCCTTTAGTCCCCTCTTGTTGGTTGTATTTGTTACACACCCCAGAAACCCTCTGCCAGCAGCCTGTTCCTCACTTACAGGGGCAGGACAGTGACACCAAGCCCATGGTGACTTTACCTCCCTTCAGCCAAACTGAAGTTCTGCACAGTTTTTCACTCAGGCACTTGCCTTCAATACCAGTTGGATATCACTCTTTGGATGTGCCAATGATTTTCATTGCCCACTGTACATGTGATACACACACCAGTATTACCAGTCCCAAACCAAGGGGTTCTAGCTCTCTGTCCCATTCTGCTGCACTTATATTTTATAGATGAGTCCCAAAGCTCTGTGGATTTAGGCACTACTTCCTCTCACCCATGAGCAGCCCCATGAGACCATCAAGCCTGGCTTTGTGCTCCAACATCTGGTTGCCTTTTGGTTTCAAAGAATTAGTAATGTTTATATTTCTACTTCAGGGGTGGCAGTGCAGGAAGTGTTACATGAATTGCAAGGAAGAGAAGGCCAAACCTTTTGGCAATTTTCTGCACTTGATGCTGGGTTTAATAATTGCTTATTAAAAAGTCTTTTACCTAGCAGCTTCTCCACATACTCATGTTTCAGAAGGGAGAAGAAATGGTTACCTGAGTCCACAGGCAGAAGGAACAGAGTAAGACACCAGAGAGTGTTGGTAAGAGTAGACACTCTCAGCCCCCCTGGCTGCTCACTTCTGGCTTGGGGCACATTCATTTAAAGTTCCACTTGTTCTTTTTCCCCTCT